TATGTTCACAGGAAAACAAAATGTCTCTTTTCTCCTTGAACTAGAGGAAGGACTAACAGAGTGTCTCTGAGGGGGTTGATTTTGTGTCAGTATAACAGGTGAGAGGGATGCCCAGATAACTGGTAAAATGTTATATCTGCCTGTGAAGGTGTTTCTGAAAGAGACTGGCATTGATTCAGTGCACTGAGTAATGCAGATACCCTTTCCAATGTGGTAGACCTCCCCTGACCCATGAAGGGCCTGGATAGAACAAGAAGGTGGGGGAATGGTGGATTTGCTCTGTTGTAGGGCTGAGACATCTGTGTCCTTCTCTTGCCCTTGGATATTAGTGGTTCTGGTGCTCAAGCCTTTGCCACCTGGGCCTCTCCATAGGTTGTCTTTCAACATAGCATCTGGCTTCCATTGACATGAGCAACAGAAAGAGAGATGAAGTGAGCAAAAAAGCCAGAGCATTTCTTATCCTAATCTTAGAGGGAACATCTCACCATGTTTGCTGTATTCTTTCTGTTAGAAGTGGGCTGCAGGGTCTAGCCTTTGTTCAAAAGAAGGAGATTTACAGAAACAGTGTGAATACCAGGAGGTGGGGGCCATTTCAGACCACCTTGGAGGAAGCCTCTCTTATCTGTGATTCTAGATAAAATAATATGTGGAATAGAAATACTGAAAGTAGCAAGTAGAATGTAAATTTGTTTAAAATGTTATACGTTATATAGGATTCTCAGAAATGGCAAAGAAAATGTGAAGGTGGTTATTGGGTCAGCACTCCATCCTTGGCAGAGGGCAGGACACATTTGTCGTAAGTTCAGGACCAGGGAAAAGTCTATCCCCCTTTAGAAAGCAGAATCTGGGGACTTGTGTTTCATGGAGAACCAGCACAGAAGGACTGACAGAGTGGAAGCCAATGGTCAGCAGGGCTGAGATGGGCATCAGTCAGAGAGAGCACCAGGGCAATTTTATAATAAATATGGCAAACATGGAATGGAGCACATAAAGGGAGACAAAAGTGCTGGCCCCAGCAGGATGGTGTGGGTGTCTCTGGTCTCAGGGGCAAGCTTGTGAGAGAGGCTGGAACGGGGAAGGTGTTGTCCCATCTGATGGTGTCTGTGCAGCAGGAGCACCATGTAGTCACTGACTGGCATCATGACATTCATGAACATGGCATCAGTGAAGAACAACAGGATGGTGTGGAGAGTGGGAGAAAGTGTGTCTTTGTAGGAAAAGGAGCAAGCTCCAAATGTTGCCCCTGGGTCCCACTAGTTAAGTCCAATCAGTTGTACTTAAATTATAGGAACATAGGTGTTTATGAGAGACTGGTAGTCCAACAGAACAGAGAGAGGGGTTGGGCTCTCCTTAGAGTTAGGCTTCTGATCCCTGCTCATGTGCCAGAGCTTGGGCTGATGGTCAGTGCCTAAAAGAAACTCAGGAGGCAGGTGGAGTAGAGAGAAAAACCCCAGGTCACTCTGTGGATGAAGTGGGTGGGCTTGCATCCAGTGTCTTCCAAGATGCTGCTCAGCCCAGAAGCCACCAGGATATAGGGGATCCCCTTAGAGAGGAGCATCAAGGCTCTGGCCACAGCCAGAGAATCAGGTGTATGGGCTTTGTTTTATGGCCAGTGTGAGCCAGGAGGCAGTGAACAGAAAAGAGAAAGCCATTGTCCAGGACTCAGGCCCCACCTGGGTCAGAAAGCCGACCTTCAACTAGGTTGCTGATGGTCACTGTGGCTGTGGGTCAGGACAGAGATGCACATGCCATGAAGGACTAAACATTCTGGAATGAGGAACAAACTGTGTATGAGAATACCAGTTGCCCCATCTCCGATGGCTTCCAGCCCTAGAAGGAGCTCCTGTGTGCTCAGCATCTCCCTGGGCATCTCCCAGGGCAGTGGCTCTACTTGGGCCAGCAAAACAATCCAGCTAATGGTTATCCATGTTTTGTTAGTGTGGACGGATAGTAATGGCCATTTCCATCATTCAGTGATACACAGCCCACCTCTCTCTATGCCCCAAGCAACCAGATAAACAGGGGCTAACCCTAATGGTGTAAACACCCCGTGAATTGTGAATTATACATTGACATGAAACAGATTAACAGGAGAAAAAGAAAACCCACAAAGTTTAATCATGTACACATGATTAAATGACCAAGGCAGGCAGGTTTTATACTTTGCGGACTAAGAGAAAATAAATCTGTGAGAAATTCACAGAAGAAAGAAAACAACCTTGGGAGTTTCAGTTAGTAAGGAGTTTTAAACAGAATTCAGGCTGGGTAGTGAATTAGGGAAAAGTAACAAGACTTGTTTGTGCAGGCTTCTGGGCTCTAAATTTCCCATCTCTAGTGATTATGAAGTCTTTTCACCTCCTGGTACAGGGAGATCTTCACTTGGACATTGATTTCCTGCTTCCAGGGAGACAGAGGAGGGTCTGAGTGTCCTCATTGCATAGAATGTCTCTTAAGTAACTTTTATTTAAAACGATCAATATGTCAAAGTGGCACATTTGGGGCAGCCTGCCTTTGGCCCCTACACCGTCCTGTGACACTCCCACATCCTAAATAACTTAATTACAGTAGATTATGATTTACTCTTGGGGATGTAAACATGGTTGTTTGTGCTTTTTAAAGATTTTTTTTTTTTTGAATAGACAACAGGGGGCTTGAACTCTCAACTCCAAGATCAAGAATTGCATGCTCCACCGAAAGAGCCACCCAGGGGCCCCAAAAGGTTTGGGTTTTGACACGTGCATAGTGGCAGGCATAAATCATTCGAATATCTTGGAATTCATCCATTGATCCTTTTATCATCTCAAGTTTTGCCTTTTCCAGAATATCCTACAAATGGGGTCACTCAGTGTGTAGCCTTTTCAGGCTGGATTCTTTCATTTCAAAAAATACATGTAAACTACATCCATGTCATTGTATGGGGTGATGGTTCATTTCTTTTTATTGCTGAATAGATTTATATCTAGTTTAATAAAGTTTAATATCATGCATAGGTCTTGTATCCATGGGATATACCCAGGAAAACGGAGTAATTCCATGAAATGTCCCAACTCTCACCCTAAATGCCATCTTCAACTAAAGACCAAAAGATTTTGGGTGGTGGGAAGGCCAGGTAAGGGATGTTATCAGGTGAGCACAGTAAATGAGGGGATAGTAGTTACACAGATTTAAGTCCAGGCCTTCTCTTTTGGTGAGAGTTTCTTGAGATTTAGGCAAGAAATACTGTTCCTGATACAGAGGGAGACAGGCTTACAAATGCAGTGTTCCTTTTCAAGTGCACAGTTCACTCAACCAAACAGCAACTCTCACCCAGTTGTCAGAGATTCTCTCATGTCTGCTGTTTTTTAAAAGTAATCAGCCCAAATAACCCCCGTGCTAAAGAGACATATTTTGGTTGGCATATTCTGCTTCCTTCACATGGATGTCTCAGTTTCCTTATGGACTTTTATGGAGTTTCCTTATGGCATTTATGGAAGAACATCCTGGCTTCTTTAAGTTCATAACCATTATGAACAGAGCTACTGTGCATAATTGCATGTGAGTTTTTGTTTGGAAATAGTTTTTTTAAAGCGCTGTCTACATACTACAAGTGCGATTGTTGGATCTTAACAGGAGACTTATTTAGGTTTGGAAAAAATAGCCAAAACTGTCTTTTGAAGGGATGGTTGCTGCCATTCCTCACCTTTCAGCAAGCAGATTTCTTGTTTTTAAAGTTTAGCATTTGTAATAGGTGTGCAGTGCTGTGTCCCTGTTGTTTAAGTTTGCGCTTTCCTAAAGATGAGGTCAAGCATGTTATTGTATGCTTATTTTGTATCTGTATGTCTTCTTTGTCCAGGCATTTTCAGATCCTTACCCATTATCGATTAGGATGTTTGTTTCCTTATGTTTAGTTCTGATAGTTTTTTGTGTGTATATATATATATACATATATATACACGCACGCACACACACATATATATGTATATGTATATTAGTTTATTTGAATTCCTTTTTTAAATTTTAATTTATTTTTTAAATTTCTTTTCAGTGTTCCAGAATTCATTGTTTATGCACCACACCCAGTGCTCCAGGCAATACATGCCCTGCATTATACCCACCACCAGGCTCACAAATCTTTTACCAGATATGTGCTTTGCAAACATTTCCTCCTAGTTTGTGGCTTGTCTTTTAGTTTTCTGAGCAAATTCTTTCACAGAGTAGAAGTTTTAATTTTAAAAAGTTCATGTTATCAATTTTTTTCTTTTCTTTTTGGTGTTGTGTTAAAACTCATCACCAAACTTAAGGTCATGTGGATTTTTTATGTTTACTTTCTGATATTTTGATAGGTTTACACTTTCGATTTGTCTGCAATTTCTTTTAAAGATTTTATTTATTTATTTGACAGAGAGATTGAGCACAAGTAGGCAGAGCAGCAGGCAGAGGGAGAGGGGGAAGCAGGCTCCCCGCTGAGCAGGGAGCCAGATGTGGGGCTCAATTCCAGGACCCTGGGATCATGACCTGAGCCTAAGGCAGACGCTTAACCCGCTGAGCCACCCAGGCGCTCCAAATTTATCTACAATTGTGAATGAGTTTTGGTGTAAGTTATAAAGCTTGTGCCTGCATTTCACTTAACTCTGTACGGTTTCTAATTAATTGTTTCTACTTCTGGAGAAGTCAGGGGATAATTGGACTCCGTTTCAGTTTGAATTTCCAAAATGTAATAGATTCAGCAGGACCCCAAAAGGGACAGATACCTCCCTTGAACTGAGCGCACCGCATTCTGCACCGCTCCCACAGCCCGCAGGGGGCGCCCGAGTCCCACGCCGCAACCCTTGCTGCGCATGCGCGCTAAGGCCGCTTTCTCTGGCGCGCTGACAGGTATTCCAAGGCCTCAGGACCCTCTGTGCAGAGGCCCAGGCTTAGGGAGGATGTGGGGCTCCTCCACCGTCAGGAGCCCGGCCTCCTCAGGACCCGCTGTGGAGACTTCGGGAGGACATGGGTCCACATACACGCTGTCAGGACCTGCTGTGGAGGACGTGGGGCTCTGTCCATGCTGACAGGACCCGCTGTGCAGGATGTGGGGCCGCCTGCACGCCAACAGGAGCCCGGCCTCCTCAGGACCCCTGGCGCGAGAAGAAGGTGAGCAGAAGCCGCTGGATCGGGGACTGCTGAGGGGGTGCGTGCTCGCAGGGCCCAGGGGAGGAAGGGCGCGCTGTGTAGACACGGGGCTTCCGTGGCTTTGTGTGCGGTGCCTGTGGCCTCCCACGGGGCTGTGTACGGGGCTGTGCGTGGGGCTGTGGTCCCCCCTTTCTGGGCTCGGATGCTCCCCGATCCCCAGCTGTGTCCCTGCGCCAGCGGACTGAGTTCCTGGAGCTCCTCAGAGGGTCTGCAGTCAGGGAGCAGCCGCCGGCCTCCATGTTCGTGCTCCCCCCGCCTCAGCCCTGCGGGGTCCTTCCCACCTCCACACCCGCTGCAGGGCTGGCCCGGAGTCTGGAAGTTCGGGAGTGACAGCACGGGCTCTGCTGGCGGCTGCGGGGACAGTAGGTGTTTTCCCGGTGCCAGTTCTTCCCTGAGCCCAGAGTGTCTCCCCATCTCCATGCGTCTCCCTCCGTGTCTGTCATCAGTGTCACATGGCTGTTGGAGGACAGGCCTGTCCCCTGCTCAGCAGGTCATGGACAAGGTGGGGGAAGCTGGGAGGGCTGCTTGGAAGGAAAGTTCATGGAGAAAGGCAGGGGCTGGGGTGACGGAGGATTCTCACTGGTCGAGCTGCCGGGATGGTGATTTCCTGTAGGAGACGAACCCCAGCTTCCTCTGCGGGGCCTGGAGCGGGTGAGTCTCTAATGTGGGGGTCTGTAATGCGCCCTGAGCACTAGGCACCCCCTTCCCGTCGCCCCTCCAGTGTCCCCAGTCGGCTTTACTGAGGCTTCCCGTCCTGCTTCCTCACAGTTCTAACCAGGTTGTGGGCGGCACTGTGGGAAACTGGGATTCCGAATCCCACTGCCTCTGCTGCGCCGGATTGGAGGCCGATTAATCCTCCCATGAGTCTCCTGCTAATGTGGGACCTCCTGCAAGGGCGAGTGGCCTGTCCACGGTGGGTGACCTGGATCCGGGAGGGCTCCGCCTCCATTCCAAAGTCTGACCTCGTCTCTGCTTCTGGACGTGGTGCCCACGTGTCCGTTTGGAAGAGCCATCGCCTCTGCGGTGATTTCGGATCTGCAGTAACTTGTCACAGAAGCAGAAATGCGCTTTATCTCCACACGCAGACCCCCCAGCTGTCGCTTCCTTACCACGTTTGCCACTTCACATGGGCTACTTCTGTGTGTTTTACCCCAAACAGAGACACTGTCCCGCAGAACCACCATGTAACCCCAAGTGAGGAAATGATGACGGCTTCCACATTTGAACCCAGACCACAGGCCCACTTCAGCTGTCACCCCCTTCCACGCTGTCTGAGATGTCTTCGCCATTCTGATCTAGTTTTCTTTTTCTGGAACTGCTCCCAAGACTTTCCCTTGTTTGCACAATGCTTATGGATTTAAGGATCACAGAGGGCTCCAGTCTGAGTTGTATTTCTGTATGGTTTATGTCACTTGGGCTGTTTTCAGTGTCCAACCACATCATGACAGGCATCAGCCTTTCGTTTTTTTCATGGTGACTAAACGTAATAACATTGACCATTTCAAACATTTCAGGTACACAGTTCTCCAGCCTTAGCTCAATTCCCATGACTGTACATCATTCTCCAAACTTTTTTCATTCTCCCGGAGGGAGACTGTATGCATGAAACACTAGCTCCCCCTTTCCCCTCCCTCTCGGCCTCAGCAGCCACATCCAATTTTGTGTCTTTGGACACCTCATACAAGTGGAATCGTATAGTGTTTGTCCTTCTGTGAAAACCAGCATCCTGTCCTTTTCCTGATTTCAGAGTAGAGCTGGCAATCTTCAGACTTGAGCATGGTGTTTGCCATAGATTAAAAAAAATTACCCCTTATTCCTGCTTTCATGAATGTTTATATCAGCAATGGACATTGGATTTTGGTTAGAACTTTTTCTGCATCAATATGACCACATGTTTTTACTTGAAAATTTATTGTGGTGGATGATAACATTCCTTGGTCTCACTCTATTGAACAACGTTTGAGATGTTTGTGAAGAGACGCTTATGGTGTACAATGTATTTAAGAGCTCTTGGTTTTGGGGCGCCTGGGTGGCTCAGTGGGTTAAGCCTCTGCCTTCGGCTCAGGTCGTGGTCTCGGGGTCCTGGGATCGAGCCCCGCATCGGGCTCTCTGTTCAGCGGGGAGTCTGCTTCCTCCTCTCTCTCTGCCTGCCTCTCTGCCTACTTGTGATCTCTCTCTCTGTCAAATAAATAAATAAAATCTTAAAAAATATATATTTAAAAAAAAAAGAGCTCTTGGTTTTGCAATTTTTCTGATCAGTCTTCTTACACTAATTTTAAGAAAGGTATAGGAATGTACTTTGTTGATTTTGTGATGATTTCATTGGGGTTGGTATTAGTGGTTAGGAGGAGGTTAGGGTTAGGATTAAGTTAGAGGTTAGGGTTAGTGTCTCCCTGTCCTTTGCTGCACAGAGCCCATTCTCCTCCAGTAACCGGAGTGGTATTTTCAGAGCATAACCTTTGGGCCTCCCTGTGGTCTGCTCCCTCCTGCCCATCTTCTCCAGCCTTTCCTCTCCCTCTGTGGCCTGTCCCTCTGTGCTCCACCCAGGAATGTGGTTGTCCCACATGTGTCTCAAGCTTGATAACAAGTCTTTATATTTACTGTACCCTCTGCCAGGATCACTCTTCTCTCCCCCTTCTTCATGTCGGGCTTGTTTCCCCATTGGCTGGGCCTCAATTTGCCCCCGATGACCTGACTTATGCCTGCTGGTTGTGTATGTGCTTGTTCCCTACTTAAATGTAGTGCCCACCTTCCCTGTGGGAGCGATTTACTAACCTGCCAGTGATGGGGCAGGCATAGGGAAGTAGCCTATGGGAAGTGTCTGCACAAAAAATCAGTTTCAGAGGGGCTCAGCACACTTGTCTGACAATGGGGGAGTTGCTTTCCCCATGGTGGGGAGCAGGTAGTCACCTCAGAGGGAGACCAGCCACGTGAGGTGATTGGACAAGACCCCCAACTTCTTAGGGCTGGGGAGATGTAGACCTGGACCCAGAAGCTTACCCCTTTGGATTCAAGGCTGGGGCCTAAGCAAGCCCCCTCTTCTTCCAGAGGTCTTCTTTCCCCTTCACTGCTCCCAGACTGGACCTGATCTGAGGGAGTCTGAGGGTGACCCCTCCTAGGAATACCAGTGGTTCACTGAGGACCTTGTTAGCAGGATGCCCTGTAGCCTTCAAGGGAAGACCCTATGGGAGATGGAGACAGCTCTGTGGGGTCAGTGACAGCCCACTCAAAGCAAAGTGGGGCAGGTAGCTGGCCCTACTAGTTCTACTAGTCTGTCAGGTACAGAAACAAGGGCTGTGCCCCAAGGTGCTCAACTCCTGGCAGATGGGAACAGGACCTGTGGGTTTGCCCTGAAGCTCAGCACAGGGAAAGTGTTCCTGGCTCAAGCATGCTGGAGCCTATATGGGGCTGCATGGGTTTCCAACCTTCTAAGCCTTAGGCTCCCCTTTGTAAGATGGGGTACAGATGACCCCTATCTCTGGGAGTAGAAGGTAGGGAGGCCCCACAGGCAGACTTGCTAAGGACAGGCTGGGAGAGTGGCTGTTGCTTAAAGCAGCCTAGGGCCTGCCCCATTGAAGAAGGTGCACACATTCACAACCCCCCAGCTCTGGGGTCCTGCTGCCAGCCTCTGGCAGTGACCCTCCTCACACCTTGTCCCCTGTCCCGTGGTCTTCCTGGAGCTGTTCCTGCAGATGGTAGAAAAGCTCTTCATGGTGGAAACAGGGTTACCTACTACATCTTCACCAACCAGCTGGCCCCCATGTACCCGTCTGGGAGGGCCGGAGGGTGGTGGTCTTTCTGGTGGGATGCAGGGTCACCTACTATGTCTTCACAGACCAGCCACCTGCTGGGCCCCATGTTCCCTCCCATGTACCTCTGGGAGGGCCAGAGAGTGGTGGTCCTTGATCCTCAGTGACCAACACTGGCAGGATGTGTCCATGCAGCACATGGCGATGGTCAGCTGCTCCTGCAAGCAGCACTTCTCTGCAAGGTGGATGACTTGGTGTGCTGAGGTAGACCTAAAGTTCCATGACCACATGGGTGTGGATATCCTGTCCCCTCTCTTTGGCACCCTGTACCCCAGTTTCCACCAGGTGGCCTGTGAGGACTTCAGCTACAAGCGCCAGCCGCAGTCCCAGGCCCTCATCCCCAGGGATCAGGGCAACATTTACTACATGGGGGCCTTTTTTTGGGTATTAGTGATGAAGGTTCACTGACTGACCTTGGCCTGTCACTATGGGATCGGGGTCAACCTGGCCAGTGGGATGGAGGCCATGTGGCGTGATGAGAGCCATCTGAACAGGTACGTGCTGGACCACAACCTCACCAAGATGCTATCACTAGAGGACCTGTGGGACCACGGCTGCTGGGCTGTCTCCGGAGGACCTGTGGAACATGCAGGGGCTGGGCTACCCAGCACCACCCCCCCACCTCCTTTCATGAAGAAGCTGAGATTTGTGGCTGTGCCCAAGAATCACCAGGACACCAGGAACATGTGAGGGACTGCCCTTATTTCCATCAGGGTGTGCTTCCAGTGGAGCCATCAGAGCAGGTTCCTTCTTCTGTCCTCTTGAGGGAGACTGTAAAGCCCTGATGTCCAGGGCCCCCAGCCACACCTGCACACAGAAGGCCTGCCTGGGGGCACAAGGTACTCCTTTTGTGGTTGCTACATTTTGATAACTTCTGGGTCATTTGCAGCTGTGAAAGTCTCCAGTTTTATGTCAGATGTTTTTCTGTGTCAATGCTGAGCAACCATCTTTAAAAAGAACAGTTGAGGAAAAAGGTTGTCTCCCTGGTTCTAAACAGACAACGCTTGGTGGGGCTGGGATGGGCCCTGGCTGGGTCTTCCCTCCCAATCCCTGCACCTCACTGCAGCCATGGGGCTTCAGGGTCAGGGGTGCGCCGAGCCACCTGTCAGACCCCTAATCCCCTGATTGCCAGAGGCCTTGGCCATGGCTGCTAGCTCGGCCTCCAGGAGCATGGAGCCCTCTGGGTCATATACAGTTCCTGCTTTGGTTTTAATATGGCTATTTCTGTGCTGGCGTTTGTGAGATGTGAGCACTGGCTCCATCTTGATGCGCATCCTGTTGGGATTCCTCAGTGCCCACTGGTGGGTTTGCACTTGTGCCCTCATCTGCCTGCACTGTGTCTTAGCAAGCATTCACTGAATGCCTGCTGTGAGCTCAGTCACCCATCAAGGGGCAGAATATGAGAGAGAGAACTAAGATACAGGATCCCTGCTCCAGGGCCCTCCTGGGACTCACAATGGCCCTGACCTCTTGACTCTACTTTCTAATTGTGTTATAATAGACATACAACTGGTACTTTGAAGCATGTTGAAGTGTAAATTCAGTGGCAGTAAGTAAATTCACTTTTCTGCACCTGTTACTTCCATCTATTACCACAACCTCTTCATCATCCCAAACTGAACTTCTACCCTTGAGACCCTAACCCCTCATTTTCTCCAGTCCCAGCACCCAGCAGCTCCTTCCACCTCTGTGAATCAGAGTGTTCTCTGTCCCTCACAAGTGGGGTCCTCCAGTATCAGTCCTTTAGTAACTGGCTTATTTCACATAGCACAATGGCCTCAAGGTATGTCCCCATGAGCCTGGACCTGACCCACTTTTTCCCCAAAGGATTGGCTCACTGCTCTCCTGTCTAAGCTGAGCCTCCTCAGTCCCCTCTGCCCCTCTCATCTTCCTCCTCAGCCTGAAGATGATCCCAACCACTCTGCAGCTTTGAAGACCTGTTCAGTTCCAGATGCCAGGAACATACCCCGGGGGTGTTGGGCCTCACCTACCCCGTCTGTCCATGTCAGGTGCCTGGACCCCCCACCAGATAGCCACCTGCTCCTCCCACAAGTGTCCCCATCTCAGGTGAGGAAAATGCCAAGTCCCTACCCTTGGAGTCCTTATGACTTCTTGCTTGTTACCAAATCAGTACTTGTTACCAGTAGTGAGGTGGCTGCTGGAGAGCATTTAATGACCAAAGCATTTAAAGGCATATTTGAGTCCCTGCTGCCTATGGCAATGGATACCAGTTAAGGCAAATAGAAACCAAGCAGAATCACTGGAAGAAAGGCTGAGTGATGAGGAACTTTAGGGAAGAAGGGCCTGGAAGCTCTGACTATTCCTACCTGACCTTCAGATGCTCCTCAATTACTCCTGTGCTTCTGGTGTCTTCCTGGAATCTTAACCTGGCTGTTTTCAGACAGCTCATCCAGTGGTACCCTCACATTCTGGGAGGGGGATTTGCTGGAATCCTTGGTGTGTCCTGCTGCCCCACCTGGTTTGCTTTTTGAAGGCACATCGTCTGGGCCGTCTGAGGACCCGAGACTGTGGGTCTGTGACCTGTAGGGATTCTAAGCAGAGCTGGTGAGATGGGAGGGCTGCAAGGCACAGAGGCAGGTTTCCAGAAAGCTTTCTGGGGCCCCTGGCATCCTACCATTTTTGAATCAGAGCCCTGAGATCCCTAAAATGCCAGCAATGTTACAGCATGGGCCAGAAAAACACGTATCTCTGTGCACCCAACACCACCTAAACTATTGGTCCTTTCTTGTCACTTGAGCTAAGTGCAAAGGATGGGAGTAGGGGCTTGAGGGGAGGTTCTGGGCCAGACTTTGTGTTTGGGAGACAAAGGCCATCCATACAAGCTTGTGCTGAGCTGCACCCAGCTGCAGACACTACTGTCCCCTGATGCCCCCTCAGCTTGCTCCAGTGCACCTGCTGCTGGGGGAGTGCCTGTCCCCTCCTCTCTGTGGGGGGCCTCTCCTGCACTAGCCATGCCTCTCCCCTGCCAGTCACTACCAGCCTGTAGCCTGGGAGGGTGGATACACTGACAACCTCCAGCCCTGGGGACAGAGCTGGTGCAGGTGGGATGTGGTCTCCCAGCAGGCTTTAGCACGAGACCCGGTGCTCACTCTCCTCCTGTGGGCTCACTGTGCCATGCCCTCCCTCAGGCTCCCTGGGCCCAAGTCTTCCTCTGCTCAAGGACTATCCTCGGCCCAGATTCTACATGCTGGGGCTGAGAGTATATCATCTG